ACATGTCAAGTTTGATACTTATGATTTAAATTCAACTATATACCGCTTACGATAAGAACAATCAAAGTGTCAAGTACTCTTGACAGTACATTTTGGTCAATTCAACTTTAATCGATGATTGCAAAAGTAACCGTAAAATTGTCTATGTATTAATTAAATTTTTATTGAATTGATATTCAATTATTTTTTGTGAAATTACTCCACTAGTTTGTTACAATTATTAATACAAAGATCGAACACTCAGAAATAACACTCAGAAAAAATTCCTTCGATCCGGTCGGATTCGAACCGACGTCTTCTTGCATACCGTATCAGACGCTATACCAACTAAGCCACGGAACGAACCAACGGATCTCACGAATTTTTCTGTGCTTGCGTCGTGTCTTTGTACTTGGTCTTTCAACGACTTTTTAGTCGTAGCGCCATCTATGAGAAATCTTTGACAGATTTATCACCCCGTTAGTACCTTTACAGCTACCAGTCCCGGCGAGAGTTGTCGCTATTCACTGTATTATTTACATTTTTATTGAATTGATATTCAATTATTTTTTGTGAAATTACTCCACTAGTTTGTTATAATTATTAATACAAAGATCGAACACTCAGAAATTAGTTGGTATAGCGTCTGACACGGTATGCAAGAAGACGTCGGTTCGAATCCGACCGGATCGAAGGAATTTTTTCTAAGTGTTTTTTCTGAGTGTTCGATCTTTGTATTAATAATTATATCTATGTATTTTTTTTTTTAATAACGTATTACGTATTATATTAATTATCATTAGAAATATTATTTTTTGTTGATGCCAGCAGCACCTACTGTCAAGACATTAAACTTGACACTAGAATTTTGGAGTTTCCTTATCGTAAGCGGCATAAGTTATTCAACTTGAACTCTTAAATCTTAGTTATCAAGCTTGAAATGTTCACTGTCAACTAGTAAAGCACTATTCTCGTTGAGCACTGCTGTACTCAATGACCACTATTCTGCCGTAAGTTAACTAAAACGCGGCTGTGACAAAATCACTTTTGAGATGTCATATAAAGACCATATTCCAGTTTTAGAATTGAAATTGTTATTGAAATTGTTTAAAGATATTTTAGCTAAGCATCATTAGCGTAAGTTCTGATATATCCTATACGTTAACTAACTTTAACTGTTTTCAAATAGAGAATTTTGAGCTCTATCTTGTACTGTTTAAAACGGATATTTGACCACATGTCACATTTTAGTTAGTGGACAGAATTGTTGTGAAAACCGATTTCGACGATAATAGAAATAACCAAAAAAATAACGCTATTAGACTAATTACTATTTCTTCATGAATTCTAATACAGTAGAGCTTCTTGTGAAAGATTTCGTCCAGAGAAGTAATGCCACCTTACCTATTTGCGCCGCCAAGCAGTAATGTCAGCATTACTGCGTTACGGTTTTGAAGGGTAAGGGTGCTGGTGAAATTACAGGCACATGGCAGTGTCCTTCAGATATTTGCGATTGAAATCTCTGAGTGGTACTGTTAAGGACAATCGTATATAGTTTACTACCAGACGCACGACTTGTTCGTCCCGTCAGTTGATTATTTATTGAGCATTGACTATAGACCAATCAGCTGTAACTACAAAAACGCGTCTTTTTTTGGAAATTCCAAATACGATCATAGGTTTATTTCTAATACAAATTGCGCACATAAAAATAGTTAAACTTGTAGTAGTTAATTAGAACCAGAATGTTTTGGATTAGTTTTTGAAAATGCGTATGTTCAGTTATCATTAATATCTACGCAATTTCAGTCTGTTTCTTAACTCTACTTCAATTTTTAACAGGAGTAGAGCTCATTGTGAAAGAGTTCGTCCAGGGAAGTACTACCACTTTACCTATTCTATATTTATTATCTATCTATTATATATTTCTGCCGCTTAGCAGTAATGTGAGCATTACTGCGTTCGCTGGTGAAATTACAGGCACATGAGACTTGTCAACATATTTTATGTCTCAAGGTAACGGGCGCAGTGCCCCTCTTATTTTATTCTTATTTTTAGAGAAATTACTCCATTAGTTATAATTGTTAATACAAAGATCGACCACTTAGAAAAAATTCTTTCGATCCCGCCAGATTCCAAAAGAAGCTACGGAGCGAACCAGCCGAGCTCACAAATTTTCCATATGCTTGTTGTTGAATCTCTGTATTTGGTTTTCAACGATTTTTTTAGCCGTAGCGCCATCTATGAGAAATCTATAAAAGTATTTCGTCACCCAGTTAGACACCTTTACAGCTACCAGCCCCGGCTAGAGATGTCGCTATTAATTGTAATTAAATATTTATTGAATTGATATTTAATTCTTTTTTGTGAAATTACTTCACTAGTTTGTTATAATTATTAATACAAAGATCGAACACTCAGAAAAAGTTCCTTCGATCCGGCCGGATACTCGGAACGAACCACGTTTTTTATACTTTTCAACGTTGTGGCCAATACGTTTGTGTCTTAAAAATGAAAAAGAAGGCCCTAAATACGAGCCCCTACACCGACTCTTGTAAATTCATTCATTTCTCTTCTATCTCGAACCACTTAAGAGCCCCCATAACATGGATTTATACTGGGCACTTAAAGTTGGAAAACTGTTTAGTGCCATTAAGTCCTCGTTACATGAATCGTAAATATTGCAAGACAATTTTATTAATTTACCTAAGTATCGAATACTAGTTCTCTGATTATCATAAACCAAAGTTAGATTAAGCTTAAGTTAGTCCAATGTACTTTATAAAACCAATTATAGATTAAAAAATATATTTCCTTTCTCGCATGAGCATTGGACAGGCGAATATTATAACCAGTTATAAAAGACACCTCAGCTTAAAGCGTTTTTTCAGGTTTGTTTGCTTACGAAACAACGAGGCGGATCAGGTGAAACTGGATAGTTAAAAAATTTGATACACATGGACTTGTCTCATTTATAAAGCAACTGTAATATGAGTATTTTAACATCATCGAAATCTGCAAGAATAGAGAGGTGAAGGAATAATAAAAACCTGTTAACATTACCTCACTCTTACATGAAGTTGTTTGGCGTTTTAACTTTTTATTCAACTGCCTCCGTAACCGAACGGTTACCGGATTCGATTTCGGGGCCAAGAGAAGAAGCCTATATGGCATCCGCTATACAGGCTTACCCTAGTACGAAGCTATGAATGTGTGCGTTATTATTATATATATTATTCTCTGTGGCCACTGGACTGCTAAATGAACCTTTTTGTTTGTCCTGAATATATTTTTGTAATATTGTTTATTATCATGACTATGATTAATAAGTAAAGTTGGGCTAAACTTTTTCTGACATCCGGTATATAACTTTCTGTCACAAGTTCGAGAAACGCTCTCAGACCACCATTTGAAACCTGCAACAAAACGAGAAGTTTCGCGTACGGCAGCTTTCTACGTGGAAAACGCTTTAAGATTTCTTCATCAAAAGCATAACAACAATAAATATAATTGGAAATTTCTACCCCAATTAAAGATTCAGAGCATCAACGAGAACTCCTGAGTAGAATACATATTATATTATTACGTTCATAGTTGCTAAAATACGTTATGTCAAAAGCGAGGATGGAAGGTGATTCGTGCCACTCGTCACACAAGGATCTATCATCAAAATCTATACATTGGCATAGACCGGTATTTGACGAGTATCGAAAATATATGCATTTCATAATAATAATAATAACGTACACACTCAACATAGCCCCGCACTAGGGAAACCCTGTGGCGCGGGTGCCATGGACACACACGTAGACAACCACAAATTAAACCCAAACTCACGAGAGAAATAAATGTAGGTCATACAAATGTTTCTCCCGGCCCGGCAGTCAGTATATCTAGTCGTGGTTAGTAACCGTTCGGTCACATAGGCAGTTATTGTCATAAACAATTAAAAAATAGGCTTAATGTTTGTTCGGACTAGAATTGAGTTGTTTCTTGGACAGTTGGTGTTCGTTTATGAGCCTGCCCTGTTTTTTTTTAATAAATGGACTTAGTCGCTCTTGTTCTTGATCTCTACCTAGCCTTGGAACAATGATAAGGTCTACGATAGAACGAACACCTACAACAACCTAGAAAATACCTATTCAGTCGCACCTTAAAAATAATTGGGTTGTTGCGCTCGACTCAGATTACATTTGTAATCTGAGGTGCTCGAAAACACAATCGCAGGTAGAGACGACGAAATATAAATAGCATAATAAAAGATGACGTAAATCGCTTAGTCGCAACAGAACCTTCAAAGCGGGGACTCTTCTACCTTGAAATCTGCCTCCTTGCCTCCCTTGCCTCCGTGGCCGAAATGTTACCGCGCTGAACTGGCACGCTTTTCCCTAATACGGGGCTATGAGTGTGTGCATAAAAAAAGCAGTGCGTTCTTTTAGGATAGGGACAAAATCATAATCGGACGTAGTTAATAAAAAGAATCCAATCCACAAAATTATCAAAAAATGAGGTATTTGTACCAAACGGTTCCTAAAGTCTCACCTCTTAGATCAGCAAAAAAAACCAACATGTAAACATAAATAAATATTTCTGGAGTTACATGACATTATAAGTTTTGAAAACAAAACAAGAGTGAGAAACATTTTTAAACTTCAAACTGCCATATTTATCGAAAGTAACTAGATGTGCATTGGATCCTCTTCGTTTAACCACGGCCAATGTTATTAACATAATCGAAATTCGTTAAAAATGATAATAATTGTAGACAGATATAAACTCACGTCACTCTTTATTTACGCTGTATAAGAGATATAATAAAAACCGTTAAGCATTAAGGAAATGGACTAACGGGTGTTGGATGTCAAAAACGAACTTCAGATTCGACTTCAATGGGTTCATGGGAGTTTATTAATGTATTAAAAACGTATGAACAAATAAATAACTTCACCTGTTCACCGAAGGGCTCAGCTGTGTGTATCATTTCAAAAGCTAGTATAAAACGAGTACGGAGGCTGATTCGCGTCTACTCGCAACACAAGGTCAAGTGCGAGCGTCCGAGTCATTGCTCCTCGCGTGCGCACCGCATAACTTGCGCAGACGCAGCCAGTGCTATTATAGTGACCGGTGTTACTGCGGTGAGTCCACATTCATACCTTTGCAGTTTTTTGTGTAGTGTTTTCTATTGTACCTCTAGATTATGATATGATTCAATGATGACGGTAAAAAATCGTTTATCTCTGAAGACATTTCCGGCAAGGGCATTTCCAAATATAGTACAAGTAATATATAACTTACGTTACGGTAGTTTTCATTAACGCCGTACGTTTAATTTTTATGAATTTGTTTCATTGAATTTTCTAGTATTCGAGAAAAGGCAGAACGAAAAATGCCCCCTTCTTTCTTAATTACTATACAGGTAGATCTTAAATCATTACCATCAAGCTAACAAGGACTGCCTAATCTAGGGATACAAAGAAAACACATAATTTTAGTCTACCTATAGAGATACGCATAAATTATACCTACATTTCTGCAAATTATAACATACAAAGGATTCTGTTTTAGGAAAATATTAAAGGTGTTAAGTTTATGTTTTAGTAAGGAGAACTTTTGTGTACGTGAAAATGTTTGTATGTTTAAAACTTTTATTTTCAATTTTTTTTAAGAAATGAAAAAAAATTAAGAAAATGTTTTCTTGAAAAATTTATCAAAAATACATAATGACTATTTTTTCTTAAGCTCTCTTTGTCTTCGTCAAATTTGCAGTTCCCAAAAAACACTCTAAATACGGTAAAAAAATCATAACTTTCAAACTCTAAAGTTTTTTTTAATATATGACTCAGCAGTATATTTTTAAGTCATAAAAACTAACCCGTTATCGGATAACATGACTATGTAAACTTAACACAATCTAACTGCTCAAATACGGAGTTCTGACAGTCTCATACTTTTTAAAAGTCTAATTACTTGAAGCCTTAAAGAATTAAGAATTGTTTTTAAGATTAAAAAAAATATCTCATTTTGGAAGATTATAAAAACCGTTCAATCAAAGCGAACCCTAATAAATTGTAATTTGAATTGCACACGTCTTCATTGTAAAGGTTGCATAAAATATTGATATCGTCGGTGTTTTGTAGAAAAGACGAAAGCGCCATTTTGAAAAATTTTTCAGGGGAGCATGTTTAAGATTTTCACGACTGTTTTAAAATATTTACGCACTATTTTAAAATTCAATTTTGATTTTATTTTAAAATAAGTTTTGACATTGAATGTAAAAATGGACGTACATATTTTAAAAAAGCAGTAAAAATACCCTCTGAAAAATTTTTCGAAATAGCGCTTTCGCCCTTTCTGTACAAAATACCGACCATATAAAGTTATTATGCATACTGGAAACAAATATTCTGCTTGTAAATAATACAGGTTTAGTTTTATTGTCAACAGTTTGCGAGTTTAGTGCTATAATAATACTGACCTAACTAAACTTGTTAACGTTTTATCGTTTTGTGACTCTCCCAGTTTAGAATTACTCTTGTTATGATTATGACTAACTGAATTAAGTAGGGTGGTCCCGGCAGAAATTTGCTATGTAAACCCTATTTATAATATTGTAAAAAACGATTATGTTTATAGCGCATTCTGCACCGGAAAACTATCTATCGTATTGACTGAATCAAAATTCATTCTAACATAATTTTAATTTTGAAAGGGGTGATGCAACCAACTACTGAAATTAAACTCCAAACGGGCACTTTTATGTTGTTTGTTTTTAATTATTTCCGTAATGGACAAGACAAAGGCTAAAACCAAATAACCAAGTCTTAATGATTTCTCTTTTCTTGGTTTTAGATTAGACATACGCCAAGTCTTCAGTCTATTATTTATTTTATAGGCGTTAAGCCTCGTCTTCGGTGAGGTCATCATATATCAGAGAGCGGGGTAAATTCAGGGTATAGAGTTTCAATTCCCGATAAAATTTCAATTCCAACAATACGACAATACCATTTTTTTCTGTACGACGCGATAGTTCACTATTGTGTATTCTTTTTTGTTATATTTCACCTTTTTCGTTAAAAACCATAGTGCATTGTAACTTCGTAATCTTAAAAACATAGCCTCTTCCCGCTTCTTTTTCGTTCAAAACCCATCATACCAGTTTTTGCATTGCCATTAAAAAACAAAAATGTTTCCATATTTTTATTTTACTTTTACAAAAATCATTACACTATCGAATACAATTTTACAGAAAGACATTGTTCTCGAATTTAGTTACAAACTTTTATAAATTCATTCTGAATTCTGCGATGGACAATTTGAATCGAAGTTATACCGATCACCAAATTTTACCCAACATAATTTTTTTCATCGTCAATTCTTTTTTTAAACATACCATCTATTTACACAGTGATGTCATCACCCCAATTCAGTATCTATCTTGACGAGTGCGATCTCTTTACAAAAGAGGCTATTTCGATGAGAAATCATTGTAAAGTTTTTCCGTAATCGATTTTTGACCACTCACGTACGTGAGCTTAGAGAAATGGAATTCTCGTTTGATGAAATATTTCTATCGACATTTTCTTTATGATGCTATAAAAGTGTAAATTTTTTTTTATAGTATCAAATGACGGGACGAACAAGTCGTGCGCCTGACAGTAAGCTACACGCCTGTCCATAACAGTTGTAGTACCACTCAGACTTTTAAACGGCAAAGATCTGAAGGGCACTGCCACTGCGCCCGTCACCCTGACACATAAGTTGACAAGTCCCATGTGCCTGTAATTTCACCAACACCCTTACCCTTCAAAACCGGAACACAATAAAACTGACATTACTGCTTCTGGCGACAAAAATAGATAAGATGGCAGCACTTCCTTGGATAAACTGTTTCATAAGGAGCTCTAATGCTACTATTTATATATATACATAATATATATATATATATATATATGTAAATAAATATACATTTATGAACCATCATCAAACCACTAATCATCTGTTAACTAAGCAGTAATGCGGACATTATTGCGTTTCGATTTTGAAAGGTACGGGTGGTGAAATTGCAGGCACCTGGGACTTCTTAACTTATGTCTCAGGGTGACGAGCATAGTGGTAATGCTCAGAGCAGCACTGCGATTGGTATCTGCAGACATGTCGCTTACCACCAGGAACACGATTTGACGACCCCGTCACTTGGTGTCTAAAATAAAAGATTACCAGTGTGTAGCAGATTGTGTCAATGGGTTCGGGTTGGTGCTAACAAAGAGTGAGAAAGACCAAAGCAAATATACTTATAGTTTATTAATTTACTACAAAAACATGTACAGATATCAATCCAAAATATCTATTTTGATTAACAATAGTACAGAAAAGGCGCCAAAAACAATCACATTTAAATTTAGAATTTAACTATAAAACAAACATGAAAGACTATAACCAAACCTAAAAATATATACACAGGAGATTTGTAGCGACTGCTGCGACTCGTACACTGTGGTTACACTAAACTCATGACAATTAGGGCGCGTTCAAATTAGCCGCTGTTAGACGCGCTGCAGCCGCACGACAGTCGCGCTGCAATCACGCTCGGTTGCAGTCACGGTTAGTGAGGTGCACATGTTAATTTTTCAAATAAACCACGAATGAAAATCGAATTGAAGAATTTATGGAGAATGTAAAACACCACCCTACAATATGGGATAGCAATTCCGCCAGTTATTCCTGCTTTACGCGCTTCGCCTGCAAATCAAAGATAAGCATAAGGCTTTTCATAGATGATAATTTGTCAGAATCGAATTCCTAACGGTTTCCTTGGGTTCGGTAGCTACTGCACCTGTATGCATTAAATGCATTCAAATACTAAATTATTAGTATCATTTTTATAATAAACTTTGCAAAGAAGTAATTCCTTAAATGGATACTTATTAGTAAGTGATCATCGCTACACGTGAAATAATGTAGCCGATATTTTTAACCGACTACAAAACAGGATTTTTTTATGTATGTAATGCGAGCCGATTTTGATGATTCTTTTTTTGTTGGGAAGAGGTACCTACCCCTCAGGAGTGGTCCCATTTCAATTTGAAGAAAATATTCCCCTTTCAAGGGTGGCAAACTAGGGGATATCGATTTTTGTCGACACTGTAGAATTTATATCAGGCGTACATGCAAATACCTACAAATTTTTTTTTAGTTCGATTTTAACCTTGATATTAGTCCATCACGACGACGCGACGTAACGATCGTCAAAAATCGATAAAATCTATCAGCATCTTAAGGAATTAATCCTTATATTGACACATAACGATATCTCCAATGAACGCCAACTTATTTTTTTGAACTGTCCTATTTTTATTTTGTTTCTTTATTTTTTCACAGAATTTTTTTTTCCATTTTCTTTTATTTCATTCTATTTTTTCACAAATTTTACAGTTTCACAAAAATAGTTCATGGTTAGTTTACAAAAATAGCAAAAAATTATCTAAAAATAAAGTGGCGTAGTATTCATTGGAGGTATTTAAAATACAGGATATTTTTGTTTTCACGTTTGGTCGGATCATTTATCAGATGATAAAGCAAACAAGTTTTTAAAAGATTTTGAACACGGTATTACTTCTAAAAATTAAATAACGTCACAGTGATGCAAAATATCCTATCAGTAATATTTAAAGTACTTTCCCCCCGCGTCCCATAACTGTAGAACGCCTTGTATAACCATCACGCATTCAACACAAGTTTCGTACGTTAGCATTCAAAGACAAGTGCAAAAAATAATGTTCCAACAAAACAAAGAACTGTAAAATAAAAACTTCGCACATCAAATCTCTAATCAGAAACTTTAATGAGTTGTAGGCGGACCCGGAAACGGTCCAAGGATTTTTTTCACGGCTTAATTAACTAACAACTAATCAGAGATATGTTTGAAAACCGTTAGAAGAGTCGACAAAAAACTACATCGTGTCAATGAATTGAGCATTGAATGAAATTTGAAAATAAAACACTCGTTGACTTGTACACGAGTGCTTATTGAACTTATGTGTTTTTTAAGTTGCTTCAATTACTATAATATAAACCATTATGGATTAAATTACGCGTATAATGGTTACCACTCACAATTTTGGGCAGAAAAGTGTTA